ATATATACTGTATATATATATATATATACACATACTGTATATATACACATATAAGCTATTTCAATACACAGGCTGAACAAGAGAAAGTTAATAGAATTTGCCATCCATGCAGCGTGGATAGAGAAATCTCCACTGCCACCTATTGTATTTAGAAGCCACGGAAACTGCAGCTGTCTAAAAAAATGTGGGGCTGCCAAATAGTGTCTCCATCTTGTAGGTTGCAGTCACTGTTCAGAAAATCATTTTCGACCCAGTTCACTTGAACATAAATCAAATTTTATTGAGTCGAGTCACACAGCTCGAATGTCAATGATTCAGCAGGAATCGGCCGTATTAAAACCAGTCTATCAGCCTTAAAGTTTCTTATCAGTTAGATAATCTCATGTCAACCATGTTTGTTCTTGAGCATATTATCACACTGTTTTATTTGAAATTAAATGATTTCATTTGATCTTCCGTTTACTGGATTTACTTTATAGATTGATTAATTACAGATAAACATCATTGTAGTATTGCAATAGATGATTACCTGTTGCATATATACAGTATAATATCACCATGTGGTTAGTACAGTAGACACAGAGTTTTAAAACAAGTGTAAAGACTTGAAGAGCAATGATACCTTGGTAAAGATGTAGCTACAGTCTCCATGGAAGTTATAGTGACCACCATCATAGGTGTAGATGTGTGAGCCTCCCTCAAGTGAGCAGTGTCCGGCACAGGGCAAAGCCTCACAGCTCCATTGACCCCCCTGACAAGTGCTATAATAAATAATGCAAACAGTCAGTTAAATTGATATTATACATATTGTATGCTTATTGCTCAGAGTAATTACTTGAAATTTCAAAATGTATGGGGTCTATTCACAAAGCTGCCGAGGGCAGACGAGTGAATGACCGATCAGAAGTGAAGTGAGCCGAACACTGTTCGGCTATTCACTTCAGGCTGGTACGGCTGATTTCAGCCGTATATCGGCTGAAATCAGCCGTACATCGGCTTGCTTCGTGTGGCTTCGAAACAGCCGAACATGCTCAGCATGTTCGGCTGATCCAAAGTGCAGAAGGAGTACGACTCAGCCGATCCAACATCTGGATCGGCTGAGCCGAACCTCCGGCAGGCTTCACACTGCTGTTCGGGCTATTCTGAAAGATCCCGAACAGCAGTGAGAGAATAGCCGAATGCCGCCGAGCGGCATTTGGCTCGGCTGTTCTGCTCGGTCCCTCAGAGGCACCGAGCAGAACAGAAAAAGAGTGAAAAAAGTAGAAAAAAGTAAATAGAAAACGATTGTGCAGAGCTAGCAGTGACAGCTAGCTCCGCCCAATAGTTTCCTATTGTCCGGCGGCTCTGCTGCTGTAAAAAAAAAAAAATTAAAAAAATGTAAAAACTCTCCCTGGGGCCCCGGGAGCCCCCCGCTCCCGGCCGCCAAGGAGAGAAACCCCGCTGTGTCTTTTTTTCTTCATTCTGGCACGAGCGATGTCAGAATAGAGGAAAAAAAAAATTCCCATTCAAAAGCATTGAGAGTTTACTATTGGCTATTTCAATTTGCAATAGCCAATAGTAAACTAGCATTGTTCCCGCCCTCTGCTGGTGGACCTGGTGGGGAACTGCAAAAGAGGGCGGGTACAATGCTAGTTTACTATTGGCTATTGCAATAGAAATAGCCAATAGTAATGTCCCAATGCTTTTGAATGGGACTTTTTTTTTTTTTCTCTATTCTGACATCGCTCCGTGTCAGAATAAAGAAAAAAGACACAGCGGGGTTTTTCTCCTTGGCGGCCGGGAGCAGGAGACTCCCGGGGCGCCAGGGAGAGTCAGATGCTTGGAGATCAGTGTCCCTGGTTAGCAACCAGGGACGCTGATCTCTCTGAAAGTGGCCGGAGCCAGCCGTAAGATCACGGCTGGCTCCGCCCAGCTGTCAGAAGCAGGCTGTCGGCCGGCCAATGGCCGGCCGCTCGGCCAGCTTCGTCTTTCAGCACGGCTCAGCGCTCGACTGAGCCGCTCGGCCGTGATCGGGAGCTGTACGGGCTATTGTGAATAGCCGTACAGCACCCCCTCGGTTCTCCTGAACCGAAGGGGTCCTGGTGCCGAAGCTAGCCGAAGGATCGGCCGAAGCTACGGCCAGATCCTTCGGCAGCTTTGTGAATAGACCCCTATGTGTTGGTATTTTGCAGGTATGAGAAGGTACGAAGCAAGAATTCTGAATAGAGAGCTTAGAAAAGGGACTCTTTGTCAAAAAGAAAGCTGTATTATTAAAGATCAACTTCGGGCATAAAAACATTAAAGATATTCTTAAAAAGCTACAAAAAAAATCCACTTTGTATACACCGAATGCCTTTGCAAACCCAAATGAAACTTTGTAAAAGTAGTTGTGACATCATCACTTAGGCTGTGTGGAGAGCAGAACTGTGAATAATACCTGGCAGGTCCCACTCATTAGACTTGTGCGCCGTCAAAAAATTTGTTCTGTTTCGTTTCGGAATATCCGTTATTTCGTATTTCGTAATTCGTGTCCGGAACTCAATTCGGATTCGTACGAAATACAAATTTTCGTTAATGGCGGTTATATTTTCGTTACTGTACGAACATTCGTTATGATGAAGTTAAAAAGCAAAGTACCTTTGTTAATATTGGAGTCGATGTGGTAGTTGTTTTTTTTATCCGAAATACGAATTCCGTTAACGGATTCCGGATCCGAATTTCGTATTTCAGCTAAAAAAAAAGCTACCATCAATCAACTCCAATATATTAACAAAGGTATTTTGCTTTTTAACTTCAATATAACGAATGTTCGCAACGGAACGAAATTGGATGTTTCGTCAATGGAATTTCGTATTTTCTGCCTGTATTGTAATGCAACTCTCAGCAGCAGAAGAGAAAACCTCTGATTGGTCAACCAAACGAAATACGAATTCCGTTAACGGATTCCGGATCCGAATTTCGGAAAAAAAAAAACTCATCAACTCCAATATTAATTAACAAAGGTATTTTGGTTTTTAACTTCAATATAACGAATGTTCGTAACGGAACGAAATTCCGACAACGGAATTTCGTATTTCCTGCCTGTATTGTAATGCAACTCTCAGTCAGCAGCAGAAGAGAAAACCCATTGGTCAACCAAACGAAATACGAACTCCGTTAACGAATTCCGGATCCGAATTTCGTATTTCGGAAAAAAAAACAACTCATCAACTCCAATATATTAACAAAGGTATTTTGCTTTTAACTTCAATATAACGAATGTTCGTAACGGAACGAAATTCCGTCAACGGAATTTTGTATTTCCTGCCTGTATTGTAATGCAACTCTCAGCAGCAGAAGAGAAAACCTCTGATTGGTCAACCAAACAAAATACGAATTCCGTTAACAGATTCCAGATCCGAATTTCGTATTTCGGATAAAAAAAACTACCATCAACTCCAATATATTAACAAAGGTATTTTGCTTTTTAACTTCATCATAACGAATGTTCGTAACGGAACGAAATTCCGTTAATGGAATTTCGTATTTTCTGCCTGTATGTATTGTAAGTAATGCAACCCTCAGCAGCAGCGGATCCGTATTTCGGATTAAAAAAAAAAATCTTGTCATGTTGTTCAACCTCATTTACAGGGGTAATATTAGTTCCCTTTTCAATGAAATTCGGATCCGAAATTCTTTAACGGAATTTCGTATTTCAGGATATAATTCAGAAACTGCAATTCGGATTTCGGATGCTTCCGAATTTCGGAATTTCAGGAAAATTCATGCGAATTTCGATTCGTAACGAAACGAATCGCACATGTCTACCACACATTACAGGTTGTCTGCCAAAAACTATAGGAGGGTGTGTTTACAAGGAGAGAAAACAGCAGTGACTGGTCTTTACAGAAACCTCCTCCACAGAGGCAAAATGCAGGAGTTATTTTATGCTGTATTACTGCAAAGATCTGTTAGTAATACGTGAGGTAGACTAAGTAAGAATACACATGGCTCTTGAAATAAAAAATTACTGCATAGGCCAGATGTCAGCTTTATACAAATAATAGTAGAATGAGTGGTTACAAATAATAAAGACATCATTGTAAAGAAGAGCTGGCTCATGGAGTCAAACTACTGAGGTAATTGTCTTAGGTCAAAGTTAAAGAGGTCCCTCTCACTACACTTGACTCTCAAATCATAGGAAAGACAACACCCTAAAACTGAATACTTTCACAGCTTTTCTTACCAGTTGCGGCAGCTGCTGGTATAAAATTCTCCTGGTGCAAATTTCTTGTTGTTGTAGGTACAGGAACATTCACTGAGTGGGATACAACCTCGATCATCAACATCATCAAGTACCGTTCCTGAAGGAAAGTTTGACTGTGTTTAGACGATGGTTCCTGAATCTAGTTCTAATAAAATGTTATTTTTATGGTACCAACAACCAAGCAAACACGATGATGACTTATTGAGGCTAATCTTCAGCAGCTTCACTCCACTCCTGTATCTTCACTCCATAAGTTGAGTGAACATTCACTTCTAATATGCAATTATGTGAAAAATAAATTCCTGTTTATGCATTTCAACTGCACATGACTGTGAATTCAAAGTGATCACAGCTACAATTTATTGAGTGAAGATTCTCAACTGCTTTAGTAAATTACTCCACTGTGTCATCTATTGACAACAATTGAGTTTAAGATTACTTCACAGGGTGATGTTGATTTAGTAGGTTAATATGTTATATATCTGTGAATATAACCCACCTCAGAATTATTACTTATCACTAGAAAACACACAAGGGATGCTTGCTGTATAAAAAAAATTGATTTTACCTGGTGGACAGAAGCAGCCATCTATGCAATGCTCTTCACAAAGAAGGGTCCTCTCAGAGTTGGAACAGGTATCAGCACAAGGTGACCCACATTCGTTATATTTCATGTTCATTGGACAGGTCCTCTCTGTCAAGAAAAAGTTCAAAGTCAGTGCATAGTAGAATCTTTAAGAAAGTAGTTTCTAACACCAGCTTGGCTTTACAATATCTGATCAATAGAAACATAGAAGAATGACAGCAGAAAAGAAAGTGGTCCATTGGGCATGCTCCTTTTTTTTTTTTTTACCTTTTTGTCTGCATATAGATCTGTGTTTGCCCGTAGCAGGTGTAAACTCACTTACTTTTGACTGAATCACTTCCTTTGCTGGACCTTTCTTACAAGCACCAACTACTCTCTTAGTAGAAAAAATACTTTACAAGGTAAGTTTTGAACTTTCCTCCTGGTATTATATTCTGTAAAGTTACATAAGGGGGCATAAATAAGCAGAGCTTTTAGGCCATTATGAAGTCCCACCATCAAAGTGGCCATCGTTTAAAAGGTGAAACCAGCCTCTGTGGTTCCTGACTGTCTTCTACAGTGAAGGGTTTGTTCTGTTTTCATTTGGAACCTGTCAGGACACTTGCCAGAAGACACTATAAAGCATGTTGCAAAATGTATGGATTGGCCATGGTGGGTTCTGTGTATGAAGATGCTCAAATCCATTATATCACCTGAAAATATTGCCCAGTTCAGTTTCATTAATGTTACTTTGTACGTGAGCACAAAACAGAAATATGTTTCATCAACGTAAATACAGAATACGAAAAAGGGACATAGACAAAGGAAAAGGGCTGTGCAGAATGCAATATGCATAGAGAACAGTAAATCTGCATTTATGCAGACATTTTCTGTACTCACACAACAAGCTTAAAGCAGTTCATACCCTAGTGTCCTGGAGGTCCCTTTATGAACAGACATCTGTTTGTTGTGCATGTCCTACCCTGCATAGCAAATTTGCCTTCTCTTGTCCCTAATCTTTTTTTAGATGATGGAAAGAGTCGATGGTGCAGAGTACCATGTAATATGTAGGCTCTGTTTATAATGGCTATAACTATAATAGGTAACAAAGCTTTGAACATCATTTCAGGCGAGGTACCATTACTGAAAATTGTTCCTGTTTTAGTAGAAGATAGTAGAACTATGTCAACAGCACACCATGGACATTTGTTGCAAAGCCCAAATGGAACTACACTTGTCAGGACAGACATCTGCCTGATGAAAGGGGTCCTGAGTGACTCAGGAATGTTGCACCAATTTGCATTGTGATCTTTTAAATAAAGGGCTGAGCTTTGCAATAAAGATTTATAGAGTGCTAACAACATATTTCTACTATATATATAATATATATATATTTTTTTTTTTTTTTTCTCTCTGGCAACAAGTAAAAAGTTCTGTAAAATTTTTATTTTTTTCTGTGACCCCATTAGTATTTTCCAATCACATCCTGTCTGTACATAAAATGAGGAGATATTCCTCTCCCTGCTAAGAAAAATTGTTTTTGTCTCATTTTCTTCCCATTGAAGACATTTCCCATCATATCCTGTTCTAACAGGAATTGAGAGAAAATCTCTCCAACAGAGGCACCTCAATAAAAACTTTCCCTGCTCTATCCAAAACAAAAGGCTTACACTGTAGTTCGGCTTTAAAGATGAAATGCCTGTACTTGTCAACCATTTTCTGATCGCCGGTTCAGCACATTCTGTATTTGACTTTTTCAGGAAAGTGTAACCTTTCTACCTAAGATTATACATTTAATATAAATACATATCCCTGTAGCTGCTTATGTTGCTACCTATAATAGAAAACTATCTTAGAAAAGAAAGCAAACCATGAAAAATGGCAAGAAAAATCCATTTACCGCACATGGTTTTAGTCCTCCAATTTTGTGGCTTCCCACCAGCATGAGCGCACTGCCGGGAGTATTCAGACAGGGTGTCACAGATGCATTGGACATCAGATGAAGACCGACGCTGACATAGGTCAGACACACAGGCCTCTATGTAGGGATGCTGAGGCAGGCGCAGGTCACAGTCACCGAAGGCTATGTTGGAAAGCATGTGGACACAGGTCTCTTTCTGCACGGAGAAGAGATCGTATACATCACAAACATAGGGCATTGTATGCTATATAAAAGCTAATTACAAAATGTAGTGACTGCTGTAAAAATGCACATTGTGTATCTGCCAGCATTAAAATAAAGGTGCTCCCTTATTGATTGTACCGTATCAGTCCTACTTTTATAAAAACTTTAAAAAAATATTTAAATGGTCAATCTTAATTCTGGTTTACAAAGCAGCATCTTCCTTTTGAGTGCGAGAATCAGTTATATGTTCTCAGTAACCCTATTACATAAATACCGGAAAAATCTACAGGCCATTATATGATAATAATAAAACATATATACATAACACATATATAAACACATATACAACATAGATCATATAATAACACATATGGTCATTCCAAAATCTTACCAGGTCACTGCAGTTTTTTGGGGCAGATGGTACAAAGTCTTCACATTGCTCTGTGGGTCCATCCAGCTTTTGCAGGTTCCCAAATTGCATAGGTGTCAGCTGGATATCTATATAAACACACATTGTCACCCCTATATACGCACGCCAACGTGTATGTGCATCTTATTATTCTAAATAGAAACAGGTCTTTCCATACTTAGGTTTGGATAGAGAAGAAGCACAACAATACAACAAAATAAGGGGCTTTTGGGGTCTGGATCTGATACCCATTCTTATTATATGAAACATCCTTTATTGAGCCTCCACATGAATGAAAAAAATGTATAAAAACACACGAGCCAGTCAAAACTCTAAACCTTTATTACAGTCTACCTTCAAGGGCCAATAACTGACTCATTACATAGCATACTAGTCTAATGTATTAAATAGCCAGTAAGACAATTCTCAAGTAATCCTTTTCATATAATAATGTAGGTCACGTCCTGTTTCTGAGGAAGCTTGTTGCGAAACATGTTGAACTATATCGGGCTATCACACAAGGATGAAAACAAGCTAATTCAAAGACTCTGTAATTTGTCTTACATCTATCAATATGGTGCTGTCATCCTAAGTCCATTAAAACATGGTATAAGCATGCCCAATGAAATGCATTGTAAATGCACAAAAACATACATCATACAGTTTTGACAATTTTTAAATACAAAAATCCGTTATGTTTTTCCTTGACTACGGATAATTAATAAACAAACAGCCCATATAAATGCCCAAGAGAAAAAAAAATTGCAGAATGCACATAAATGAATTCAATGATGTGTCAAAAACACACAGCACTACAAATTGTTGTGTCAAAGGCCCTGAGTCAGAGCAGTGACTCATACCCCTCTCTTCCCTCTTCTTGCCTGCTCTGCTCTTGGAGGGCCCCATTGTTTCAATCAAAGAAAGATAGCCTGACAGCAAGCAGCTTCTTCTCTTCAGAAAGCTCACAAAGGTCTGTAACACCAGTGTTATTGTTGTACCCCATATTAACGCAGCTAATTCACAAAAGGGTGAAGAGTTTGTAGAAGGCAGGAGAAGTGAACAATCTAGGGGAACATAGCTGAACTGGAAAGTGAGCTGAATTGGATAATTTTTCCAAATCAGCTATTTTGGCCTAGATTGTTCACTTCACCTGCGTTCTCCAAATCTCTTCACCCTTTTGTGAATAACCCTGTAAATGTTTATTTGTAAAAAATCCTACCTGAATAGTAAAAACAGATAGGAAGCAGTTTAAAAATGTAAAAAAAAATGTTTTCGATACATTTTACCCAAAACTTTTATAATTTCCCTTTATTACTGCGGTGCACAATTTAACTGATATTCCTTGTACATCTTTTGTATAATATGGCTTCAAAATAAAAAGAATGGAGAATTATTCACCTCCGCATTTATGTGACCTGTTCTGCCATATGTGCTGATAGCTACACAATAAAATGGACTTTAACTGAGGGAGTGAGGTAGAAATATTAACTTGTAAATCCTATAGCCTTGTTGAAAAAATGTATTCAGTGAAAGAAACCGAGTTTCAGCAGATAACAAATATAAGAATATGTTATAATACAGGATTGGGAAGTATAAAATAGAACATACTGTTAACCATGAACTCATCCTGAGTTAGCCCATTCATGTTTCCACACAATCCACAAGTGCTGTTGGAGTATTTTGATGGAACATACACCTGCAAATCAAATTAACAAAAGCGTAAGATAAGTATAATAATAAGTAAATGTGCCATACGCCTGCCACAGGCAATAACTATGCCAATGAAAGAAGCAACAGCTGCAATAGGAGTATAATAATAAACATGCTTATTATGTTAAAGTGAACCTGAACTAGAAAGTAAAGATTTGCAATGTTATAGTGTACGTCTACAAATGTTAATTGTGCTTAAGCCGTACGCTAAAAATGTACCTTTTATCTGGAATTTCTCCAAAAAAATAGCAGTGTACTTCCATATTTTTGAGGGTGCCTTGGCACTACTGTGTTTATAGCACTGTGCATCTGCAGTGTGAGATTTAAAGCACTGCTGCTTCTGATTACTAGTTTTAGGGGATATGGAGTAAGATTTGGTGGTGACACTACTGTGCTGCTCACTGTTTTCTTTGCTGGAGGCTCTGACATGAGGAAGAAAAGCCCTCCTCCAAGATGGCCCCCCAACACACACACAGTGCAGAACAAGGCAGGATAAGTCAGTAATAGGGAAAGACCATCTGCATGGAGAAATCAGGCAATACTGGTGATTAGTACTTTGCTCTCTGCCTGCCTTGCATTGTCACATGTACAGAATGTGATGGGAAATTCAAAATGTTACAGTTGTCACCAGAACAGAAGCTGAGGGAAAATCTTTTAATGGTGACACTTGTTCTGGTGACAGCTGCCTTGGAGAGTTTCTTCTCACTTTCTTCAGTGTCTCCTAGGGCAGAAAGTGAAGAAAAATACTCCTAATGGGACCTGTACAAAAAAAAGAAAAATGGACAGGGGTTTTAAACATTATTTACTCTATTTGATAGCAGAAATAAAAGTTTTAGCTTTAGATGTATTGCTTCATTTAATCTCTGTCCCCCATTTCATTACTATATAAAAAATTGTTTGAAAACTATGCAAAATATTTGTCCTTAAAGGAGAACTATGGGGTTAGGGCTTTTCCCCATAGTTCTCCGAAGGGTAACGGGAGGACACAAACTAGCGTCCTCCCGTTACCCAAAGCTCAGTATACCGCAAGCTGTAGCTTGGAGTCTAAGGGAACTGAGACGCCGCAGCTGAAACGGATCCCGACAATTATGTCTGGATCCGCCCAGCTGCGTGAGTGACTGCTGGCTCTGCCTATCTAGAGGCAGAGCCAGCTGTACCCGCCCCTCCCCGTCCGTTCCGCCAGTCAGCGCCGGAGGATCGGAGCGGGGAGAATCCAGTCACTCCCCTGTCACGGCTCTCTGCAGTGACAGGACTGAGAAGTGAGCGAGCGCCGGTATGTGTTCGCTCACTTCCCTATCTACTGAGCTGACCTGTGACAGTTTCATTATCACAGGTCGGCTCAGATTATGAGGCTGAGTGAAAAGCACTCACCTCATAATTCTCCTCTAAATCCATTTTGTTTCTGCAGCCCATTCATTTGAAATGTGCCCCCTTATGTAACATGCCTCTAATTATGAAAATGTGTGTGTTGCAGCACATTGCTTTATGATGCCTACAGGCCCTAAAGTAGGAGAGAGATACTTTGTTACAGGTTTCACTGGACAACTTCTAAGAATAATTGTGGACAATGTGAGTTAAGCCTTTTACCGTGAGTGAATCATCTTCATTCCATAAAAGCGCTACTCCCAGCTTGGAAGTCATTTTCACATACACACCGCTGAACTGAATTTGTACTCCAAACTGGCTGTATGGAAGATTGACCCTGCAAGAAAAGATGTTATATTAACTTGTGTATGCTTGGATTAATTATGAGATTAATCTGTGCAGTCTCATAAACCAGACTTACCTGTCACCTCCCACCATGATCACACCTCTCTTCATCTCAATGACAAGGCCAATGATCTTTATCACCACATTAGATACCACTGGCCTCCCTGAGCCGGCTGAACGTCTAATCTGAACATTGAAATCTTCAAATGTGTCTTTACAGTTAGAGGCAAATAAATAGTTGCATGTTCCTGGAAACTGATACACATCTCCATCAAAGGTCTTATAGTGGAAACTTCCCCAGGTGCTGCAGACAAGGTCGTTGTGTGCCAGATTCATCGCTGTTCAGAAAAATTATCGGTAGTTATGGATAGAGTGACTAATGGAAAGAAATTCTACAAAGTTTTCATTACTGTGTACCCACTGAGATTTCTACCCACATCCAGTTCAGGTAAAGGACATCAGACAGAACAGGAAGTGAAGTGAGACCTTTCCAAAAGTGATATAGATAAGAGAGAATATAAAGACCATCTCCAATCTCTTAACTTTTCTGATCACGTTTTTCCCAAAATCTGTTGGCCAAAACTATCAGAGGCTTCCTCAGGACATGAGAAAAATGTCTGGATTAGAATATTCTCATCAAGCATAAAAGCACAGAGGACCACTATGGGGAGTACTATCAGATCTGCATTGTACTGCAATAATTAAAATATGGCAATGGGATATCAGGCAATTTAAAGTGTAACGTCATGTCAAAGATCCCTTTTGGGTGAATATCACAATAATATAGATGCTGTCACTTTGCTTCTTTAGGACAAAAGTGATAGTGTATAGTCCGCCGCTGCCCTCCCCATGCAAGTTATGATTATTAATCTATGTTTCCTGGTCACTTTCCTGCTGCAGATGCCCACCTTGGATAAGCTCAGATGGTGTTGGAGTTTACCCAGGTGGAAGGCGTCACTGCATCCCCTTTTTTTCAAATGTTGCCATAGCCCATGGACTGTTAGGGATAGTTAGGGAGTTGACATGCTCCCCCATACAAGGAAGCTCTACTCAGTTGAAGCAATAGAGCAAGAGTCTTGACAAATTAGGGAGGCAGTAAAGGATTGCAGATCAGTTAGTATATCTTGCTGTCAAATGGGCTAGAGACACAGTCACAGGCCTAAATGGGTAAAGTGACAATGTCAACTTTACTAAACAACTTTAATAAAAAAAAAGACAGCTATCCTCACAATTATACTCACTGATTTGAAGAGATCTCCAACATAACAGAGAAATAATTTAAAAAAACCTTAAAAACACAAGTGAGGTAACAAAAATGAATCTCTGAAAATAAAAATGAAAAATTTGGAAACAAATATGTCATAATGTACAGCAATATGTTTCTTCCTAGATTAAGGCCTTTGGATCCATAAAATAAAGTGCTGGCGTTTAAAGAAAATTCTTACCGCGTGCTGGCATATCTAAGGAGTGGGCTAGAGTCAAAGCAGTAAGGACCCAAAGAACTGGACCCATAGTCCCCATGGTGCTCAGTGACAGGGGACACAGCTGAGCAAGTCTTCTGATTCCCCCTGTCTAACCTGGCTGTTTATATAGGGCAGCCTTGTTCATCCTCCCAGTGGGAGAGACCAATATGGTCTTAATTTTGATCCATATAATTACACAAAAACTAGGCTTCAATCCCTCAATTTCATGTTAGATCTGAACAGTTATTAGTTGGGATTACACTGATCCTTCAGTGTATCTTTTTTTCTTTTCCTACATCATATCCATTATAGGATTTCTCAGTATGAACAAATTAGTAATTTGTAACGCCAGAGCAGTTATTCACCATAGAAGAATCATCCACAATATGCAAACTTCTTTATATAAATGCAAGGAGTTAATGCATACACATCTCATATAAGAACATTTTGCATGAAGTTTGCACCAAAATCATTAATGGCAGCTGTACGAAAAAAACAAACAGTAATAGCAAAGTAGCTGTCGTGCACACTGCAATGGGGATATCATTGTGTACATGCACAAATATGATTGCTGTGGCCACATCAAGTGCACATACATAATTTCATATGCTTTTGCCACAATAGATTTCCAATCATAAACATATGCTGTATTTTTTTGCTCTAATGGAACAGCATGCAGGTTTTTTTAACCTGCTTCATTGCTTGGCACATGCATGTTTAATTTCTCAAGCTGGCCACACATTGCTAGAGTTGCAGCCGAGCCCAGCTTATTCAGGCACAATTCTAGCTGTGGGTGATCCTGACTGCAGCACTCTGTTAAACAAAAGCTATTTTTTAAATTGACTTTTACTGAAGGAGTGGGTCAATTGTTGCCCCAAACAGTGACTGCAGGCAATAATCTGCAGTCACTGTTTGGCTATTCTGATGGCTGTGAGTGCAAGCTGTCAGAATACAATAGCTGAGCAGGAAAGAACTATGAATGCTCAATAAAGGTGACCATACACTTGTAGTATTTTATCATACAGGCCAGTAGGATAAAAAAAAGAAAACATGCTCAATTTCCTCATCCGCACTAAATAGTGTAGATGGGGGGAATCAATTTTTCTTGTTAAAGTGACACTAAACTCAGTTTAAAGCTTAAAAATGCATTTTAATACCTTAAAGCAGCATTAAACTCTCATACTTTTTTGAATAGTGAATCCAGATAGAACAAACGTCTGCCCATGCACTTACAAACTTTGTGTTTCCAAACAGCTGGCTCCAACACTGTCAGCTCCAGTTTCCTGAACTTCTTGTCCCGTACAAGATCACGAGGGACAGGAGCTGTCCATCTACTACTTTGGAGAAAGAAAGAGAAACACGTAGGAAGCAGGGCAGAAGGAATTGACTTGATTGCTGTGCCTGTGTGTTTGTGGACTTTCTGTGTGTTTGTGAAGACACACAGCTTGCTAGCACACACAAGAGTGGCTCCATAGGACCCTGTAAGGGAAAGGAGCCATCCTAACACGGGATATCAGGACCAGTGCTCAGGCTACCAGCTGATTTTGCAGGAAAATAATACTTTTAAACATCAGCTATTGAAAGTGATTGAATCAGCATTTGTAAGAGCTTAAAAATCTTTTGACTTTAATATCACTTTAAATATTAACAATACTGCATCTTATGTATCTCATTTACTGACACTGTCCTTCCTTCTGGAGGGTGGCTACTTTTGTTCCCCATGGTCCCTGTGCTTGTTGTAATGTAGCCACCGCTCCAAGCTCGCTCCCATGATGAACTACAATCTCATGTGTAGTTTACTCATTTGCATAGAAATTGTAGTCCATCACAGGAGCGAGTATGGAGCAGACATTTATAAATCTTCACAACAGTGATCAATAAGTAAATACTGTAAGGGGGCCATATGCAGTCTAATTCTATAAGCAGTGTTCCAGATAATTTGATGTTACACTGGCCTACAAGGAGAAATCCTCGGAAATTAAAGTAGCTATATTTTACCAGAATTTGGTCACTTATAAAGGAAAATTAAGTCCTTAGTACTAATTGGCTCCAGTTTCCAAGAAACAGCTTCAGGTCAAAATTGCATCAAAATAATAAAAAAATATGAGGGGGATGTGCGATTATGCTGCATAATTTTTCTGCAAAATGTTATATATTAATGAGAATGGTGCTACACCAATCATTATAAATGTATCTTTTTATTGATACCAATAACATACCTTTCCATTCATGTATTGGCCATACACCATTTTCACCATTGGGACTGCGAAAGGCATGGACTTTTTCTTCTTGTTTAGCCAATGACGCAGATAAGTTGCACATGTAATGCAACAATAATGAGGGGCCCAACTCTTGTCCTGATCCCCTATTTTGCATCCAAAATATAGGTTGTATGCCTTTTTTACCACTGCTGTCATTCTGCACTTTTGAGATGCAAATGTAACCTCACCACAAATGTAGCAGAAGTTATCTGCGTTGTTTACACAGTTTTGAGGCATCTTGGCACCTGAGGGAAAATATCACGCAACTGTTCCTTGGAAATGTTAGGCAATGACACTTTCACAAGCCACCAGATGTAACTGTATGATGCGTAGATCTGACCGAGGTAAATGTACCTTGCAATAAAAGAACAACACATTACAGTTAGGTAATAATCTTTAGTCTCAAAGTGATAATAAATTTATACACTTCCATGTGGTACCATTTTCATTGTTCTACCGTACTTTGTCCAGAAGTTACGAGGAATCATGATCATCAGACACCTCCCTCCCTTGTAGGCAAATATGCTCGCCTGTGTATAAATCTTTATTGTGAAATATCTTGAAAACCAACCAACCAACCAACCAGCACCTTTTATCATCTGTTTTCTAATTCATCTAATCAAAATATGTAAGATTAACAAATTTTATCTCGGAGGTCGATAATTTCCCAAAATCTGTAGACCAGTGTTATCAGACAAGGATCAAACCTAGTAGAGTTCCTCTATACTACTGTCATGTGCATTCATAATTACAAGGTCATCAACCACTTCTGGCCCGCAATACGTCTATAGATGGCGGCCTGTTAAAGTGGTTCAAACAAGAACACTTTATTCAGTTTTTCGACCACCCCCACATGGGGTATAGCCTTTTTTAACAAATGAAATGGCTTGACATACAGTTTTTGCATCTTGGGGTCGCTCATCGCATCTCCCAGTATAACAGTATATCTTATTGGTGTCACTTTTAACAGCCAGCGATGGCTGTTAATGTACAAGCGATCCGGCGACTGTACAGCTGCCGGATCGTTTGTACCGTGCAGCGGCGCCCCCTCCCCCCGCGGGCGCCGTTGTCTTCCCCGGGCACCGCTGTCCCCGTGCGGTGCCTGGGAGCGGCTAGGGGGGTCTCCCGCAAGTGATTCGAGAGAGATTCAGCGGCTTCCAGCTTCTGATCTCTCCTCCGATCACTGGACCCGGAAGTGATGTGCATTACATCCCTTCCGGTGTCACTGTACACAGTCTCCGGCTCTTAGAGCCAGGAGAAGAAGCTGGGGAAGCAGATCTCTGCTTCCTAAGCTTCTTTGGGGACCCTAGGTGACATTAGGGGTCTGAAAGACCCCTGGTGTCTCCATAAAGAGGGCCTGCTACACCCTATCTGCTATTACATAGGGTGCTTGTTATCCCTCTATGTAAAGGCAATAGGGTTAGTGTAAAAAAAAAAAGTGTTTAAAAGTTATAAAAATGAAAGTAGCATAAAAGAAAAATGAAAAAATGCAATTTTTTAAAGTCTCTTGCCCCCCACGTGCACGCACATACACACGCAAACATGCTTTGGTGCGCCACGGTGCGAAAACGACAATTGCGCTACACATGTTACATATCGCCGCGAACGCCAGAGTGAGGGCAATAATTCTAGCGCTGTCAATCACTGTTAGCAATAAACTGATGCGTGGTAAAAGCGTTTAAAATGTTCCCTATGAGAAATTATGGGTATTGACTTTTTTTGCAGCTTCATGGGATGTGCACTAAGTTTTTATTTCGTTTATTTTTTCCTAAAAATACTGGTTTGATAAACATTTGCGCAAAAACCGTGGGATGCAAAAAATTGCAACTAGCGTTTTTTTATTCTACAGGCCCTCTGCTTTCAGAACATATATAATTGTTTGGGGGTTTTGAAGCTGTTTTCTATCCAAAAATGTATATTTGATCATGTGTGCGCAAATAGTAAGAAAATGCCCCGGACAGCAAGTGGTTAATTACCAAGGATCTATTGACTAGTTAACAGCCTATGTGTGATCAGGAACTGATTTTTCCCTTTTCTAGGAACAGAGCTTCAGTGAATGTGTGCTACTAGCACTCTTCACACAAATCAGAGGCAAGACAACAATGGAATTCTGCAGCATGATGATGATGGTGACGTGTGCGCAGTGACTCACCACCTATTCTCAGTGAGCACATCGATAACCAGCCTCACTAAATCTCTGATCTAATCACCCTCCATTCAAAATCTACATTTAATGTCCTTTATTGTGACATTTTAGGGGGAATTTTCAAGATGGGCAATGAGTTATGAGAGATGACATAATAAACACCTCTACAGGTGCTCAGTGATAGACAAACAAATGTTCTGTCTGAAGCTGTCTTAAAGGAGGTTAAGGCTTTTCCCCATAGTTCTCCTTAGGGTAACGGGAGGACACAAACTAGCGTCCTTCCGTCACCCTAGGCTCAGTATACCGCGAGCTGCAGCTCACGGTATACTGAGACGCAGCATCTGAAGCGGATCCCGACAATTGTGCCGGGATCCGCCCAGCTGCGTGACTGACAGCTGGCTCTGCCTATCTAGAGGCAGAGCCAGCTGTACCCGCCCCCTCCCCTGTCCGTTCCGCCAGTTAGCGCTGGCAGATCGGAGCGGGGAGGGGGGAATCCGGCCCCTCCCCTGTCACAGCAGAGAGCTGTGACAGGATCGAGAGGTGAGCGAACGCCGGAATGTGTTCGCTCACTTCCCGATCTACTGAGCTGACCTGTGACAGTCTCATTGTCACAGGTCGGCTAGAACTATGAGGTGAGTGAAAAGCACTCAC